TGAGGTTGGCCCAGGATCGGGCAGTGTTTTGTTCTGCTGTGCATAAAGTCTCTATGGGTTGGTATTGACTCGATGGCACCTAACAACAACATTCATTTAAACAATTATTGAGCATCTACTATGTTTATGGAAGTAAGATGAGGCCTCTACTCCTACAAAGATTTGAAACCTTGGAAATCCTATCAAGGGTCTCTATGAGTTGGAACTGACTTGATGATATTTAACAACAACATGGTTCTAGGAGCTCTAGGGTTCTGGTGTGGTGCTGTGGGCTGATGCGCTGATTGTAAAGGTGCTTTGAACCACAAGGTTGATGGTTCAAGCTCACCAGTCGCTTCTCGGAAAACCTATATAGAGTAGCTATGAGTTGAACAGATTCGATGGTACTTAACAACAAATAAAAACAAAGTGGCACAATGGTTAAGTTCTTAGTTGCTAACTGGAAGATCGGTGGTTCAAACCCACCAAACACTCAGACAGGAGGAAGATGTGGTAGTCTGCGTCTATAAAAATTTCTAACATTGGAAACCCTTTGGGGAAAGTTGTATTCTGCCCTGTAGGGTCGCAATGAGTTGGAATGGACTTTATGGGAATGGTTATTAATGATGTACCCTTCCTTCATGAAGCTAATTTAAAAAATAACTCATTAATCAAATAACACGCTGACAGTCGCTTAGAAGTTGTAATTGTTTTTTGATTTTTAAGTGTTATAAACACATAATCTTGTTAGGGGTGAAAAAGGAAAAGCTATAAGGTGTCGTCTGAGATTTGCAGTTAGGTATAAATTAGAAAAAGCTGTGGAAAGAGGGTTTTAGGTAGAGAAAACAGCACGTCCTGAGGATTTAGAAACTTTCATTTCATTCATTTGCTCTGAATATATTCATTGTATGGCAAAGCCTTCTGAAGCGCTGGCCAGGTTTTATTTTATTGCTCACTAACTGGCAATTTGTAATATTAATTGCTGTTGGATATTCAGCTGGTGTCTAATTAGGACAAACTCAAAACTTCAGATCCCCATCTAAATCGCAGTTTTCGAGTTGTCACCCGGCGTCTTTATGTAATACGTTCGCGTCATGACATAAGAACCTGGCCCTTCCCTCCTCCTACCGACCAATCCCACGTACTTTGGCCAATCCGAGTGCGTATCTCTAAGTTTGATACTTTCATCCGCCAATCGCAGCGTATCTTCCACCCACCAATGAAAGGCCACCGAGAGAAAGTTTCCCCCAGTCTGAGGGAATATCAATAGGGGAGCTATGGGAGGAATGGAAGCAACGGCTCTCGCGAGGATGTTCCCGGCGCTCCCCAATTCCCGAGGCGGGACGTCACGTGACACCGACTCGTCCAATTGGCGCGCGTTCTTCTGGGGTCGCCGCGGTTCCCGCCAAATACGAGCGCGGCGGCCGCGGCAACAGCGGCGCGGGCGGGAGGGCGAGCAGCAGCCGCCGCCTGAGGGGAGCCCGCGCCTCCGTTGCCGCCTCCGCCGCCTGAGGAGGGATCAAATTGCCCCCGGAACGATGCTGGAGGAGCCGGAGTGTGGGGCGCCGGGCGCTAGGGGAAGCGCCGCAGGTCGGTCCGGAACCGTGCTCGGGAGAAGGGGGGGGGTTACGGCGCGCGGCCCGTGAGGGCCAAGGCGGCGGTTGGGGGGTAACGGGCCTCCGGGGCCCGCGCTTGCACCTCCGCGCCGGGCGTTATGCCGGTGGGGCCGTTATCATCCCAAGCCAGACCTTGTGACCCACAGGGCGCCCTCTGACGTTATTGTTGCAGCCGCGACCATTACCCCCTCCCCCCCCGGCGCTTTTGCTCGGTTCGTCCCCCCAGGGCCCTTGTGGGTGATGGTTCCAAGAGGGGAGATAGTGCCAGGGAGGCGAAAGGGCCGGTGTTTGCAAGAACCTAGAGTGTTTGGGGCGCCTCTAAGCCTTGCAATGACCCTCTGGTCGGGGGGTGAAACTGAAGCCCGAGGTTACACGAACTCAGGGGCCTGGAACGGCTTTGGCTGCGGGCCCTGGACAAGGCTAATTAAGAGGCCAGGATGGTGGAGAGTGTCAATGAACTGGGGACCCTGGGATCTTGGTGCAGCCTGTGACCCAAAGTGAGCTGCCTTCAGCTCTTAGTATTGTTGAAGGCCATTTTTTGTTCTTTGTAACAGCACACAGTGGGGGAGTGGGGGCAAAGGGTGGGGTGGACTAAGGAAGACCAGATTGGCCTCTCCCACTCTTGACTCCTGCATTGGGTCCATAGCACCTGGCACAAGGCTTGCCCATAAACCTGTTTTAGTTGAATGAATTAAGTGCTGAAAGGGACATCAACTAGTGGAGTCCAGATCTTTCTCTGGAGTGGGGTGCCCTATGTTCTGTAGAGTGTTGAGCAGTATCCACTCACTGCCACAGCACCCCCCTCCCCATTGTCCTCAGGCATTGCCAAGTTTCCCTGGATCTGGGTTGGCACATCGCCCTGGGTGAGATGTTGGTGGTAAAAGATGCTTGATTAATATTGGAAAAATGGAATTCTCCATAGTACAGGGTTTGTTGACCTGGACACTAACATTTTGGACCACATCCTGCTCTTGGGGTGTTGGGGAAATGGGTACCATATAGGATGTTGATCACATCCCTGGCCTTCACCCATTTAATGTCAGTAGCACCCCCCCTCCCCAAGTTATGACGTATTGTCCCAGACACCACCACCCAGTGCACTCTGGGGGACAGAATCACCCTTTTTTCACCCATTTCCATAGATCGGTTTCATTATCTCTATTTGGGACCAAATCCTGGTGTGGTGCAAGGTCGGTTTGAACTGCAAGGTAGGTGATTCAAACTCAGTACCTGCTCCTTGAGAACCCCATACAGGGTGGCTATGAGTTGGAACCTACGGTACTTAACAACAACTTTGCTATGGGGGGCGATTCTGTGCACTGTAGGGTGTTGAGCAGCATCCCTGGCCTCTACCTACCTAATGTCAGTAGCATCCTCCTCCCCAAGTTTTGACAATAAATAGCTCCACATATTGTCAACTGTTTCTTTGCCCTCCCACACACACCTGAAGACCACTTTTACAGTGGCGTCTCCACTTTGGGGGTTTCTCAGTGATACACAATTGATACAAAGTCAGGAGGAGGACTGGCTGTCTTGAAGCTATAATTGCTTTTGTTGACCAATTAAGGATGCTAAAGAAGAAAAAATACCACCACCTCTGTACCCATGCTATAAAAGGAAAGGATGCTTTTAGTACCCAATCAACCAAAACCATAAAGAGCAGCTGGCATCTCTCCACACTCATGAATATTGGTTATGGGTGCGCCTTGCAGTGGCCTGGATTTCTAGATGGGTCTCTCTTTCTGACAAGATTGTTTTTAAACCCTGTCAATCGATCCCATTTGCTCTAAGCCAGTAAGAGGACTGGGAAGAAATCCCGTAGTTGGCCTGAAAATTGATTTCAGTGCCTAAAGATGATGTGTCTGCCCTTCAGTTGAGAGGGTGGGAAAATCCATGGTTTGTTTTGTTTTGTTTTGTTTGTTTTTGGTAACTAAGAATGTGAAGATGGTAATTGTCTTCATTCCTTTGGAAATGGGAACTTTCTGGAAGCCTGCTTTGCAGTGGGTGTGTGTGTGTATATATATATATATATATATTTTTTTTTTTTTTTTTAGCTGACATTTTTTAGAAAGCCCTAGTAGTCTGCCCTTAAAAGCTATTCACTCTTCCTTATTTTTCACAGAATGTATGTTGTTAGGTGCCATTGAATTGGCTCCAACTCATAGCAACCCTATACACCACAGAACTAAACACTGCCTAGTCCTGAGCCATCCTCAATTGTTGCTACGTTTGAGCCAGAATGTATGTTAAAGTGCCTTCAAGTCGGTTTTGACTCATAGCAACCCTGTGTAAGGTTTCCAAGGCTTTTAAAATCTTTATAGGAGCAGAAAGTCTCATCTTTCTGCCAAATGTATGTGGATGTTAAGTGCCATCAAGTTGGTTCCAACTCCAGTGATCCTGTATAGGGTTTCCAAGGAGTAGCTGGTGAGTTTGAACCACCAACCCTGGGGTTAGCAGTCCAGTGCTTATGAAATTGGGTTTTTCCTAGCCAGGTGAGAACTTATAAACAGAACTATTCAAAGTGACTTAGCTCGACACTTGGCTCTATTTTGGTTGTTTCTCCGTCAGTTTTGGTATTTTAGTTGCTTTTCTGGAGATTTTCTTGGTACAAGAAAATGTTCTCCCATATTAGCTCCTGATAGCACTTCATCTTGACCTGAGAAGATCAAAGTATCACCTTCATCAAATAATTTATAAAGAAAGTGAAGCCTCAAGTTTCCAGGTTGGGGTTGGGATGCAAAGGGGGATGGTTGAGGGTTAATTTTGACTTTTAGTGTCATTCAAGTCATTTCTGGCACATGATGACCCCACGGTGAAGGTGAGAATGATGAGTGTTTTGTCTTCACTCTCCTCGGCGCCCCCCTTCCCCCCCCAGTCAGATTTGCTCAGTTTCTCTACTCTGACTGCTTTCTGTGACTGCCAGTTTCTGAGCCAGGCGCTTCAGGGGAGGCGTGGGTTGTGTCTCCCTCCCTACTGTCATGGATTTCACATTCTGCTTGTTGTGTGTCAGATGTAATAAACACGACCATTTCAGCATCACAGGTACAGACAAGATACTGTGATACAGTGTTGAGGGCAGCAAGCTTTCTCCACTTTAACACTGTAATTTTGGGGGCTGGATCCTTCTCTGGGGTGGGGCCATCCTAGGCACTATAGTGTGTTGAGCAGCATCCCTGGTGGATCTCTTCCTACTCAATGTCAGTAGCACCTCCCCACAAGTTGTAACAACCACAATGTCCCCAGATGCCACCAAGTGTGGAGGGGCACGCCAAAGCACCCCCACTATAGAGCGACTCTGCATAATAGATTTTGTAAATGTATTTGCTGGCTGAATTGTTTCCAACATTTAATACCATCCTTTGCCACTTTTCTTCCACAGCCATGGATTGTAAAGACAGACCAGCTATTCCAGTCAAGAAGCTAATACAAGGTAACTGTCTGGGACTCGGGGGATGGGGGGATTATGCGAGCCCCGTGTTGTGACTGTTGATTGGAGGCTCATTTCTAGCCCTTATCTTCTCATTATGTTTTTAGTCCTTGAGCAAAAGGACTTGTTTGGACCCTCAGCAGAACTGAGGGACTGGAGAGGAAATCACAGTTGAATCTCAAGGTCGCCAGTTCAAGCCCACAAGCTGCTCCTTGGAAAACCCTATACAGAATCACTATGAGTCAGAACTGACTCAATGGTACTTAACAACAACAACTTAGAACAGAATGTTGGAGTGTTTTGTTACACTCATGTTCCCATAGGCACCTTGGTGGCCCAACGGTCACATGCTTAGTTGCTCCCCCAAAGGTTGGTGGTTCCACAAAAGAAAGCCCTGGTGATCTGCTCCCAAAAAGATCATAGCCTAAGAAATCCTCTAGGACAATACTGCTCTGTCATATGGAGTCGCACCCCACAACAACCATATCCCCTTTGGTGTCCAGCAACAAATCCCAAAGGTCATCGATTCTACAGTAGGCTTCGTTACTTTGACACTTGACACTGTGGGCCAGATCCTCTCTGTCCTAGGGAGCTGTCCTGAGTATCATAGGGGTTTTTACAGTATCCCTCACTGCCAGTAGTCTCCCTCCCACCCCCATTAATAAAGTCAACACAACCCAAAATGTCTCCAGCCATTGCTAGGAGTCGCCAGGGAGCCAGAGCTGCCCTGGAGTCCATTGCTCCATCAATATCATCTTCACGATGGCTAGGAGGTCAGAGCCCACCATCGTACGGTTTATGGGACGAGAAACGTCCTCAAAGGAAGAGTACCTCTATCACGAGTATAAAAAGGTTGTCATTTCTGATTTTCAAACTCAGTTATCTGGCCCCCCCAGCAATGTGTTGCCTCCTGGGGATGATCTGTAGCAGGTTTGGCATTGGCGGGAATTATGACAAGGACGGCTCTCTCCTGAGATTAATGTTTTAGGGACAGAACGGTAGGCCCCCACAGACATTGTGGCTTTATAAACCCATAAAGTACATGTAATCAAGAATAGACTGCTGTTTTATTTCTCTAAGTGAATTTTTTAAAAGCTCATGGGAGCTGTTTTGGTGTTTAAATCAACATGGGCTCTGGAAAGTTTGCGCCTCTGAATTGGCCTACTCCCTAATGTAACCACCTTGTATCTCCGCCTTGAGCATGAATGTTGGGGGATAGGTGTTTGTTCATAGCACAGGACTTTGTACATTTTTGCTTTATTTCTTCCGTAGCAGAGGCTGGGTTGAGGGGGACAGAAAGATGCGTTTTCCCATAGATACTGTTGTGGTAGCCCTGACTCCTAGTGACCCCATGTGTGTTAGTAGATCTGTGCTCCGTAAGGTTTTCAGTGGCTGATTTATTAAACTATGTCGCCAAGCCTTTATTCTAAGGCACCTCCGATCTTTTCCTTAGCAGCTGAGCACATGTGTCACTTTTCCTGCCCAGGGACTCCCATACGCAAAGGAATCTGTGTATTTTGCTCCTCAGAAACAGATGAATTTTCACCCATCAGGAGTAAATTGAACTTGAACTGGCTTTTAAACAGGTCAGAAAAAAGGGCTCTTGAAATTCTGACAGCATCCTCCCTAAAGCCTTGTTAGCCTTTGGTTTGCTTGCTTTCATTTCTAGTTGTTACGTGCCATCCAGTTCCTTTTGACTCATAGCAACCTGGTATGGAGTGGCTGCTGAGTTTGAACTAGTGGTTACATATCAGGCTGCGAACCTCACAGTCAGCAGTTCAAAACTACCAGCTGTTCCACAGGAGAAAAGGCTTTCTGTTCCCGTTAAGATTTACAGTCTCGGAAACCCTGTACAGGGTCGCTATGGGTCGGAACTGACTCCACACCACTACCACCACCACCACCTTGTGGTTCAAACCACCCTTGCGATCCTGTGTTTATCCTCCAGCTCCACACCATTTGAATTAGGATGTTGACAAAGTACACAATGAGAGGATGGCGCCTCTTTAAACTTTTCAGAAAGTTTGTGCCCAGAGTCCAACAGACCCATGCTTTTCCAGCCTCTGGAACATGGTGGCACTCATTTGTTGCTGTCTTTTGTTGTGGATGTTGGGTGCTGTGAAGCCGATTTGGATTCAGATACCCCATGGGACCAAGTAGAAGTGCCCCAATGCAGCCAGTCTCCTAGGGTGTCATTGTTAAGGAAGCAGATCACTAGCTCTTTAGCAGCCGAGCACTTAACCTGTTTTTACACATTATTCATGTTTTTACACCTTTGCTAAAAACTTGGCCTCCTTCCCTTTCTTTTAGCTCGCCTTCCTTTCAAGCGCCTGAGTCTTGTCCCCAAGGAAAAAGCAGATGACGGCTCGGACGACGGGAAAGGCCCTCAAAGCGCTTCTGTACAGAGTAAAGCCCCTGATCTGGAAACCTCCTTGGACAGCACAGAGAACGATGGCCATGAAGGGTCGGATGCCGACTTTAGACCAAAACTTGTGAATGGGAAGGGTCCCTTAGATAACTTTGTAAGAAGACCCCAAAGTCACCCTGGCAAGGTCCCAGTTCTGATTGACCTGACAGAGGACTCCGATGACCACTCGGAACACCATTCTGAAGCCCCTTCCCTCCAGGAGGCTATCAATGGGGTTGAAGAGGAAGATGAAGGTCAGGTGGGCCTCTTGGAGGCCAGCCAGGATGACAAGGTGGCATCTCCAGAGGGGACCCTTCCCGACCTTCTCTGCCACCTGGACAACCGTTCTGGCTCAGCAGACACAGAGAGACCCGGAGACACACAGACAGGCTCACCAGAGGGCTGCCCTGAACTGACAGGTGGTCGGAGCCTGTGCTCCCTGAGGGAACAGCCGGGCTGGAGAAGGGCGGGAGACATCCTGTTCCAAGGGAAGGTACCTGTGGTGGTCTTACAGAATATCCTGGCGATAAGATCTCCTCAGGTCAAGTCTTTCCAGATGGCAGAATTGAATGAGAGCTTAGCCTGGGAGAGCGAGGGCCTGGGCTCTTGTCCCAAAGAAGACTCTATTCTCAGCCATTCGTCCCTGAACTCCTCCCCATCGACCAGCTCACCAGAGGGCCAGTCTGCTTCTGGAAGACAGCGTGGCAGTGGCAGTGGCAGTGGCAGCCCCTCCCCTGCCCCCACTCCGACCCGCAGAGTGAGTATTATTCCTGGCCCTGCCAATCACTTCCCACACAATGGTTTGTGGTGCCAAAAACAAGGGCTTGTAACTTCTGTAGCAGACTGTTCCCATTGTAGATATGACCACTTAGGCAGACATCGTGACAGGTCGGGTGTCTGAGGTGAACAGCTGCTGTTGACATTTTGGTGACCTTGCTAACACGTGTTAGCACTTCATTAGTGGTTCTACTTAACTTCGTAGATTCCGTGGGTAATGGTGAAACTGATGAGCCCCTTCTCTTGGGTTTTCGCTTCAGCAGCTCCACTCCTTGTTACAACACTAATTGTCAGGGCATTGCTGTTAAAGAGTCACTAAGCATGGAAGTGACAATGAACTCACAAAAGAATAGGTATTCTGTAGAATTTAGCTCTTGTTACCTTGGCCAGCCATGTGATAAACTCCCCTAGAGTGACCAGAACCCGGTCAAGGGGACTACAGCAGCATTTTCAAGGGTCCCAGAGAACTGCAATGACTGTCTCTCTGTTACTGATTTCTGATCCGCACAATAGTGGCCTCTGTTCTCGCCCACCCTTGTAACTTGTTGTTTGGTCAGTTCCAGCTGGCGGAGGCCCCTTCTGTCACACAGTAGATCCTGCCCCAGTAGGACCATCTTCGTTGTCATCATAACAGAAACAGATTGCCAGACCTGTTCTTTTGTAGTGCCATTGGATGGATTAGAACTGCCAATGTTTAGAACCATTCACGCCATCTACTGGCCTTGGTGGAGAAAACTGATCATAGACTCCAAGGTGTGTGTGCGCCTGTGGTTTGGGTTTTGTGCCACTTGTTCATGTTCACCTTGGCTTTGATAAAAGACTGGATCCTGAGTAGGACCAGATTCTCTCTACTGTGTCTGTTTAATATCACCATCAAACATCAGCGTTGTTGTTGGTAGGTGTCATTCAGTTGGATCTGCTGTATAGCGGGGCCTGTGCACAGCGTCCTCATAATTGTAACATTTGAGCCCACAGCAGCTGCCACTGTGTCTTGGGAGTCTTTTCGCTGACCATCCACTTTCCCTAGCACGATGTCCTCTAAGGACGTCCTCTCTAAGGAGAGACGAAGTCACTCTCCTCCCTTCTAAGGAGCATGCTGGCTGTACTTCTTCCAGCACAGATTGGTTTGTTCTGGGTACTTTCAGTATAATTCAAATGCATCGATTCTTTTCCAGTCTTGCTTATTCATTGTCCAACTTTCGCATGGATATGAAGTGATTGAAGACGGCATGGCTAGGGTCAGGCACACTTTAGTCCTCAAACTGGCATCTTTGCTCTTGAACACTTACGAGGTCTTAGGCAGCAGATTCGTTTGATTTCATGACTGTTGCTTCCATGAGTATTGATTATGGATCCAAGCAAATTGAAGTACTTCACAACTTGAATCTTCTCCATTTATTGGGAAGTTATTTATTGGTCCTGTGATGAGGATTTTTGTTTCCTTTACAATGAGGTGGAATCCATTCTGAAGGCTGTTGTGGTCTTTGATCTTCATCAGTAAGTATTTCAAGTCCTCTTTACTTTCAGCAAGCAAGGTTGAATTATTTGCCTATCACAGGTTGTTCATGAGTCTTCCTCCAATCCTGTTGTCATATTCTTCATACAATTCAGCTTGGATTATTTGCTCAACATGCAGATTAAATAAGTATGATGTAAGGATACAACCCTGGTGCACACCTTTCCCAATTTTAAACTCCTTGTATCCCCTTGTTCTTTTTGAATGACTGCCTCTTGCTCTATGTATAGCTTCCTCATAAACACAATGAAGTGTTCTGAAATAATACTTCACAATGTTATCCATACTTTATGATCCACACAGTTGACTGCCTTTGCATAGTCATTAAAGCACAAGTAAACATCTTTTTGATATTCTCTTCTTTCAACCAAAGTCCATCTGAGGTTAGCAATGATCTCTCTTTCCATATCTTCTTCTGAATAGGCTTGAATTTCTTACAGTTCCTTGTCAATGTATTGCTACAACCGTTTTTGAACCATCTTCAGCAAAATTTTACTTGCGTATGTGATATTAACCATCTTAAATGATTTCCACATTCTGCTGGGCCACCTTTGGAATGAGCACAAATATGGATCTCTTCTAATCGGTTGAACAGGTAGGTGTCATCCAAATTTCTTGACATAGACAAGTGAGCGCCTCCAGTGTTTTTTCAGTTTGTTGAAACATTTACATTTGTATCCCGTCAATAACGGGAGCCTTGTTTTTCACCAATGCCTTCAGTGCTACTTGGATTTTTTCCTTCAGTACCATTGGTTCTATTCCCGTGATGTATGGCAGCCAGTCACCATTGACAACAGGCAAAATACACATTTCCATTCCCCTCCCCCAACTGTTAAGAATATACACAGCAAAGCTCAGAAGTTTAATAGTTTGTATGTGTACAGTTGAATGAGGTTGATAGCATTCCCTGAGTTGTGTGGTCATCTCCCCTCCCTTACTGGTTCTTCCCCCCCACCCATGAACATAAACTTACTACCCTTAAGGAGCTCTGGTAACGTAGTAGTTATGAGTCCGGCTGCTAACCTCAAGGTCAGCAGTTCCACAGGAGAAAGATGAGGCTTTCTGCTCTCGTAAAGATTTAGAGCCTTGGAAACTTTATACAGGGTCACTGTGGGTCGGAACCGACTCAACAGCACTTCACAACAATAATAATAAGGGTTCTCCTAACTGATCTCTTCAGTTGCTGTTGGCCATTTGATCCCATAGAGAGAGTTCTGCAAAAAGCATAATGTTCAAGGCAAAGACTTTTTACTAGTTAAGCTAAACTATCGATTGGTTTGAAGAAGACTGTAGAGCATGCTTTTGGTGTAAGGTTTAAAGTTGATTTCAGGGGTTCATCCAGCCTCCTTGGCTCCAGAAAGCCTGGGTCCATAAGAATTTGAATTTGAAACCATAAGAATGGTTCTGCATTTCTTCCCCTTTGAACAGGAATCCTTCCTCTGTGGAATCTGACAGTAGCCAGGCTCCATCTAGTTCTGATCATAGGCTCGCTGAGGCTGTGACGCATGTGGGCGGTTCATCCTGTGGACCAGTGGCTTCGAGTCCCATTACGTTTTAGGGGTGTTACATTTTTCAGTTTCTTTTATTAGCTCTGTAGTTCATGGGTCAGGAGGAAGAACTCTAAAGGTGCCCTGGTGATATAACAATGAAATGCTCTGCTATTAACTGAGATGGTGGTGTTTGAAAGTCTTCCCCCACCCGCTCCTTGCAGTGGCTCTGTGGGAGAAAGACCTGACCACTGTTTCTGTAAAGATGACAGCCTGAAAAACCCTTGTGGAGCACTGCTCCTCCGTCACGTGGGGTTGCTATGAGTCAGAATTGTCTCCAGCACCCACCACCTAACACTTCTCCTGTCCTGGGGCCCGAGTTTCTCCTTCCTGTTGCTTTGGAGAATATAATTTGATCTGCCATTTACCTCTTCCACCTGCCCTTCTTTCCAGATTGTAGGTGGAAACTTTTTGGCTTTTTTAGTATCAGTGTAGCGTGTGGCTTCTCTGTGTTAGGGCTTACACTTCTATAGTCAAATCGCCATCATTTGGAACCCTGTGTCTCTGTTGGTGGTGTTTTTGTGTGCCTGGCAGCCACGCAGGAAGGAGCTTGTTAAAATGCAGATCACGAGGATGCCTCCCTCGAAGGGATGCTAGTATATTCAGGGCACGCTTTCCTTCTTACAGAAATTGCTCCGAGAGGACTGGAGTGAGGAACTCCCTTTTTTGAGGGGTCATTTGAACAGCAAAAGATTTCAACAGTTGAGCTTCTTCCCCTTTGGGATGGAAATGGTTTTCAAGCTTATTTGCAGTTAGTAACTTAGATTGTTAATGTTGACGGCTCAAGATTATGATTCCATAAATGGTCACCATACTACAGTTGTGTTACTGGGATTTTTGGCTTGTCTCTGCACCACATGACCCCAGACTGCTGGTGTTGGGGGCCAGAGAGTTGATGCTGACTCAAAGCAATCCCGTGTGACAGACAGCGTGCGACTGCCTCATAGGGTTTGCTCGGTGGTCAGCTTTGCCAAGAGCAGATCAGTCTTTCTCTCGAGGAGCCACTGGGGGTTCGTCACCAGCCTTTGGGTTGGCAACAGAGTGTTCCACCATAGAGTCACCAGGGCTCATTAATCTAAGTTACGAGTATTGTGCAAGTGTGAAATTCTCCATGTTTAAAGCAGCGTCATAAAATGTCAACGGCCCCTGTGGCTCCAGCCCTGGCTGCGTTACTGTCAGCGGCAGGTTTCTGTGTCATGTGTAGGAGATTGTGTCTTTCAGTGAGGGTCTCAGCTGTTTTTCACTTTGGTATGGAAACATACGTCTTGTAATGGCTGCCTTGTCCTTGTCACTTAGCTTCCTCAAAACCCACTGCCATTAAGTCATTCCTGACTCATAGTGACTCTGTGTAGTGTTTCCGAGGCTGTAAATCTTTACGAGAACAGAAAGTCTCATCTTTCTCCCGTGGAGTGGCTGGTGGGCTTGAACTGCCCACGTTGTGCTTAGCAGTCCAGTGTTTATTCCCCAGTGTCAAAGGTCCCCTTGGTTCTCAAAGAGGAGAATCAGCTTTAGCCCAAAGCTGATCCCTACAAGGTAGAGGTCAGCCCCATCCCACCATCTTACCTTTTCTGGCCCTAGTCATTCTCCGAGCAGAACTCTTTCTCCACTGGTTTGAGAATTCGTTGCAATGGCCACAGGCCATCTCACAAGATGCTGAGGTTTATTAAGAAGTCCTTGGCTACCGAAGCCCTGGTGGTGCAGTGGTTAAAGAGCTTTACTGCTAACTGGAAGGTCACCAGCTGCTCCGTGGCAGAAAGATGTAGCTCTCTGCTCGTGTAGAGCTGCGCAGCCTGGGAAACTTCTGGGTCAGCTCTGCTCGGCCTACAGGGTTGCTGAGTCAGGCGCTGCTCCATGACGGCATTGGGTTTGGTTTGGGATTAACAGGCTGCAATTGGGGATCAGGAATAGCTTGGATCC